TATTATAAACCCGCTCAATTATATACTGTTAACGAGTGTTGAAACGCGTCTCACTCCGTCAACTCGACCAAACATTTTACTAAAAACAAAACATTCTGCGAATCAATGTTTAATACAAAATTATTCTTTGTAGGCTAGTTTTAATTCATGAAACTAAAACCTCAATTCCGAGCATATACGAAAATAAAATAGAGGCTATGCAATGGATGAATCATTGCAGAAAGTATTGCTAGATCGACTCGGCCGTCAGAGTCTTTGCTTAAAATATATCGGTGAATACATATTCATTGCATTAAAATTTTTGAAACGTTATATATACGACTGATATATACGTGCATTCATAAATAATATTTAAATCGCTATATTTTAAAGAGTTGATACATACGTGTCTCTGCACACTCAGAAAATAAATGGGCCATATTTTCCATATGTTGATAAACTCTGCACTTGCTTATACGTCCCTATACCAAGCCAAATTGGATCTTTACGCCCCACACGGAAGCAAGAAGTGCTAGATTGGACAAAGCCTAACGCATTTCTCTGAGAGCAGCAATGAGCTAATGCATTGCCGAGTTCTTTTGAACTGGCAATTATGCATGGGCTCATATTCACAGACACTTGTATTGTCGGGAGGGGGGTAATATTATAAATGTCCCGTTTAGGTTTGTCCTGAGGACAGGTATTTGACGACAATGTGAGGGATAAGTAAATACTCATTCTTATCTTGGTTACATTGTAGAGTCATCACAGAGGAAGAGGTTGATAAACACCTAAAACCTTCGACCGTCAGGCTGACGTACCGCTAGTACAATGAGTGCTACATCGCTGCGGTTGGAGTAGGGACTTATTAAAGTGCATAGTCCTTTTATAGACTTGGTACTTCAGCCCACGTACGAGTGACGTAGGAACGGTCGCTCACGTGATGTTGTTGATGCTTAGTCAGTGTCTAGCAATCCAACGAAATCTTTCGCTTGTAGCGAATATTACACCTCAATTAGACTCTCTAATCTTTAGATTAGAGACTCTCTAAAATAATTAGAATGAGACTCTCTCAATTAGACTCTCTAAAATAATTAGAATGAGACTCTCTCAATTAGACTCTCTAAAATAATTAGAATGAGACTCTCTCAATTAGACTCTCTAAAATAATGAGAATGAGACTCTCTCAATTAGACTCTAAAATAATTAGAATGAGACGCTTGAGGCCTAGCGCATGTGCAATCAATGTAATAATTCTTACGGACTGTTGGCAATATCTTAAATGGCGAACAAACATAATCCGTTTATAACTTGATATCAGAGCCGTTTCTTGAAGTCTATAGGATTATATGCAATCTCAAAAACGGGCGTATGTTGAAAAAAATTTTCCTACAGTGTTCTAGGTAGAATCCAGTCGAATTCATCGACAAGGATATTATTATATTAGATTTATCTTGAGCTCAAAATTTGTATTTAACGATAACCTTTTCAATTACTATCGCTCCTGACAGTTTGGGATTTAAATTATTTAAATTATTGAATCAACGTTGATTATTTGGTACGAAATCCCCCAACAGCTCCCATCGCCGCCCGTACGTGCATCGCAATGAAGGAGCAAAGGACTCTCATTTCGAAATGCTTCCTGCTACCAACATTAAAGTAAACCCATCAACTTTACAAGGAGAAGTTTTCCGAGCTTATTTTTGGTCTGTGTGAAAAGTGCGAAGCATGCAAATAACTTCATTAAAACGTCAGTCACCCCACAGAAGTTGTGCATTCACATGCATGCCGGCGCTTCTCATCTACATAAGCGATCTGGAAGGCAATGAGATTTTTTGACGGTAATCTCAAGTTGATCTAAAACTTGCTGAAAACCTGACGGCAATTGTCTGCCGCAGTCTTAGCTGCGGGCTTCAGATTAGATCGAATTGCTGGTGGCAGTAGAAGTCGTTTCTTTCTTGTTCTCTTCGTTGCCGCTGGACGAGTTTCTGAATGACACAAATTTTGATGTAGCTGGTTGATCAGGATAGTTAAAAAATATCCAGCTGTTGTAGTTAAACAAATATCATCGACTTAATGAACCAGACAACATTGACTGTTTCATAGCGGCAGTACAGGAACGATTTTACACGAAACAACCGTCGAGCGAATTAAATGTTCAACACTACAAATCAATACAACAGAAATTGTTGGCATTTATGATACATTTTAGTTATTTCCAATTCACAAAATAATGTCTGATTAGAGCAAAATTTATTCATATATGTACTACGTTGCTACAGGGCGCTCATTGCAAAAGAAAATTCGAATGTTTATTATGATTTTCTTTTCCAAGTCTTCCTGTAAGAACTTTATAATTAAATTATAACAATCATTCTGTATGATTATTTCGTTAAATTACAAATTACAAGACAGAGCAGATCACTCTCACAGTCACCATTTTGTCACCCCCCTTCCTTAAAGTATTGTCCTCATTTTGCAAGAAGAGCGTTCCTTTGTTTAAAAGCGCAGCAAATAATCAACAAATTTAGTGATGTTTAAAGCAAATTTTTTTATCCTTTCCAAGACTGTGACCCAAATATGTATGCACGTCATTATTCATTGCTGAGCACCGTAAATTTTTTGCTAAGCAATAAGTAAGCCTACTCTTATGTCAGTAACTTTAATAACCATTTTTAGAATGTTTGTCCGCTATAACAATGTTTTAGATCAGGAAAAATCTGTATAAATTCATTACAAGCGACGAACGATCCGTGGTTACTCATTTCATTTCCGGAATTGAATCGGAAACAACAAAGCCATTTAATCAGAGCTGGCCAGACATTAAACATTTATTGGCAGTAACCGCCAGATTATATGACCTTCATCAGCTCAAGGTTTGGCATCTTCCATGCGAGCAGAAAAAAATACTAATTAGCAAACACTAAAAAATACCTTGACGCAAAGGTCAATAGCAGCAGTCCCGTAAATCAAGTGTTCAGAAACCAACGCACGTGCAGCGTCAAGTTTTCGAAATTTCTCAGTTTAGCTAATCTTATTCGAAGGAAACTTCGCAAACAATAACTGTGATGCCATTGTGCTGGTTTTTGGCTTAACAATGGAATGTCGGGACGTGGTCGCTATCTCAAATAGGATTTGTTGAAGACATTGCACCATTTTTAGTTTAGATTCCGATCTCTGCCATAAGTTTAAGAAACTCGTTGAATACTATTTCTTTCACATCCTCAAAATGGAAGCTTAAATACTATACCTAGAATATTCAGAAACTATTTCAAACGTGCAATAGACGTGTTAAAGAAATTATGACAGATTTTCTTAGAAAATATTATTCCTTATACATAGCATTAGCCTAATTTATGCACACCTCCCGATGATGCTAGAAATTGATCTCACCTAAGTCTGATAGTCTAGAACACTTAATACTCAATCAGCAGCACAACTGTTTATTAGTCCCATAACTGTTCACAAATCGCGGAACTTTTCATCCGTCGCAATTTATTAGGACATTAGCGTGCCAAACATTTTGTTCGTTTATTCAACATTTTAGTTTTCAACCAGAAAATGTAAGGCCGAATTTCATTAATTTGAAGAATAAATTATTCTGCACATGAAAAATACAACATAAATTAATCGACTGGAGAATTTCCGAGCAATCATTTTGCAATTTTAATGCAAGCACACGGTCGAAGGAGCATAAATATGGAAAGAGCGGTTAATGGCGGGCTTACCTTGATTTTTGGGGGCTTTGCCATCAATGAGCATCGACGACGCATCATCCAGGGACTTCATTTGCATGCACTCACTAAAATCCGAAAAATTCCACATTTTGAACGTTAGAGTCAGCCCACAAAGCGCACGCAATTTGAAATTCACTGGTTGTAGGGATGGACAAATTGAGACCATTTACCACCACATCGCAGAGGCTACAGTTGACGCGGTTTGACCAAAGAATATCGAGCTATCGAGTTCAACTGAAAGCCCATCAATCATTGGACTCAGCAGCAGTTCATCTCAACACGAACAAACAAACATAAATTAGATGCGTCACGCAACTCTTCTTGTAGAAATCAATATAGAGAGAAGTGGGAGCTTAAGCTCATTTGCATATTTATTTGTCAAGGGATCACCGAGTTTCTGAGATCAAGCTAAGGCCACGCATTAGAAAGTAAAGTGCTCCTTCCCTAGACCGGGTATTGCTGGGTTGCCAACGGAGATCAACTAAGCGCGTTCTCTTCGTGCTTTGCCAGCACATACGAGGATCAGCTCGAGAGGCCGGGGCTCGAGCGCTGATGTCACGGCATATGGTTTACAGCGGCAGGCCAGAGACAGTCGTGATGGTGAACAGTTCAATCATTCATACATTCTCAGCTGGTTGTTTCAGCTCAAACCGAGGCAAATTTGAATTCGGTAAATTATTTACCAGCGATTTTTGTTGGTCTTCTTTTGAATGCCGATGAAATCTTTCCCTAGAAAAGACCCAATATCCCAACCTTTTGTGATTGCGTGCCACTAGCATTAAGTTCCATAGTCGGATAGTTCCATTCCACCGCGCACCTACGGGTAGTTAAATTATTGCTCAATTCAGTAATATTAAGGGAGTCGAAAAAAAGTTTACAGTTTGCATTTACCGGCGAGCCGCTTCAATCAGTTGCAAACCATTATCAGATCATCTTGTGCTTGATACTCAACGTTTTCGTGTATAAAATGACCAACTAACAGTCGATCGTGACCCCGAAAGTGTTCGCTTGGCGCTTGCTCCCTGTAAGGTCGGCATGTACCACTAATGGTACGCGTACCACAGCTTGGGAGCCCGTGAACTCTAATCCTGGAAATATTTAAGCCTATTTCATACACTGTGACAATAGTATCATCGAGTGTTAAATGATCATTATTTATCTGCCCTCACTAATAACCTCATTTCAATAGAGACATTTTATGCTTGGCCTTCATCCGGTGTAGTCATTAATCCTCGATAGGTAGGTAAGCGGGCTAAGCAGTGCAGGTTAAAGATATGAGAAAAGTTCCAGGCCAGTTTTCAGTGTATTTCATGCACCATAGACAATAGATCTAATACAACAAATACAAAAATAATTTTAATTCTTTACACCACATCCAGACAAGCCAGGTTCTTAAGCCATGCAAGATTATTAGTTCATTTGTACTAGAATTACAAGAGATGTTAATAAGTTGATCAGTTTAAAAGATCTCAAATAAATGTCTGAAATATTCTTCTTATATGTAAACTCAGCCTTAACACTGAAATAGTATTGAATATTTTATAAGCTAACAGCTACTCAAGCTAAGAGAAAAACGATTGTAGACAATCAAACGATTTCCAAGAAAATTGCACCCAAAACACCTGTAACCTCCCAAGGAATATTAGTAGAGCTACATAACCACAAAAGGTTCAGTTCTGCAGAGTTTCCATGAGGACAGAGTTAGACGAATAACAACCCAAGCGAAGCAGACAACTGCACCGCTGTAACGACACGCGTTTCAATGCAAAACTTTTGCAGTAACGAGATTTACTTCAATTATTTGTAATACAAGCTTGACTTAGCTCACCAAAATATTTCAATTGCCTAATGATTCAGCGTAAGGCCAAGAATTTCAAATGATAATTTTATAATCGAAGTAGATTGAATTTAATTATGTAGCCTGAATTTAGTTAGCATTAATATCTCACATACACGCGAGAGATTCGATTAGATTTCACAATTTAATTAAATTCTTAACAGCCAAAGTACTAACTAACTTATCTTAGCACTTCAATTCAATTCGTTTTTATAGAGTTACTGAAATTCCAGAATACCATTGAATAAGTTTTAAGCTAACGACAATGGTTAATTTTAAATTTATATGATGTGTTAAATTGCTTCACTAACAATAAATTTCTCAAGACAGGAAACAATATTAGTGAAGGTGCGTGCCATTGATAAAGCAGTGGCCACCAGCACATGCAAAGTCTGCAATTTCGACATTAACTTAAACTTATTTGCAGGAGAAAAAGCGTACTATTAATTTTATTAACCCAAGTAGACAATGGATTCCTCCAAGGAATTTGAGTTTTTAGCGCATCAGTATGAAAAGGAGTAAGTATTGTGAAAAATCGTTCTATACATAAACTTACTAGACAAAAATTACTTGACACATAGTGCAAAAGAAATGAGAAAGTTTTGCATATATATATATATATATATATATATATATATTATACATCTCAAATGAACGTAAACACTACGAGGTTATGTTTTTTACGCGTTAACTATGAGAGAAGAAAAAAAAAGAATCCACGAAGAACCGTTTTACTTACGTCAATATTAGTACTTCTGACATCAAGATAGAATTTGGTCACATGAATTTCTATAATTGAGAGACAGATATTTCCCGCTGCTAATTTTTGTCAGCCTCTTTAACAAGTCTTTGGATATTAGAATCCATTAATTCATATATGGTACAGATGACGTTATCAGCACGGAACTTAGAACTCGAACGCTTTGCCTTTCTTGGACACAATTGCTGGCATCTTGCTAAAGCATTTGTAATTTATAATAAAGATTTTGAATAGAAATACACATTCTGGGTATACAATTCTACACATTCTACTCAAGGTAGAGCATACTACCTCCCTAAACATTTGGGCGTTGCTCAATTCCTTGCATCCACAAAGAAATGCAAAACCATTTCCATTCAAATAACAAAGTAAATTCAATGAACTCCGTAAAGCTAAAAAAAAAATATTTTCATAATAAATTTCAACAATTTTGTACCGCTTCTGAGATTTGTATCAAACAAACTGAATATAAAAGTATACAACTTCCTTTAGTGTTTCGGTTTAAATTATCATTTAAAGAAGAAATAGCTACGGTATATGTAGTCGAACTAAAAAAATGTATATAATTAACGATAAATCTTAAGATGCACCACAGAGAAAACCAAACAATCTTATAATAATTTCTGGTCAGATGATAAATTAAACGTGGGTTACTTTAAAAGCAGAAACCAAAACGACATTACAACCAAATTCCTTTTTTTGTTTATAGCGATAAGAGTCAACAAAAAAGCAAATATAAATCTACATATTTCCTTAAAAATAAAGATCCAAACAGAATAAACGAGCCGAGACTAAAATATTAAGGATAGAAGGGCCAAAGCTTCTTAGTTTACGACATTGAGCCCTTGGTATCGCTCCTGTCAACCCATTTACAAATAAATACAAATTAGAACACAAGAGAAATAACATCGAGATAAATTACAACCTAACGAGTGAGTAGGTGGGTCAGCAAAACTTCGGGGATGATTTCCTCTGTCACACAAAAGTCTTGGGTGGTGGATGAGAGTAACGTTTTGTTATGAAGTTAAAAGGATACTATAATTCAATCTTGTATGAAGGAAAATGTCAGGTTATCATGAATTGAGTCATGAAACCAAACAGGAATTTGAGAAATAATTCTGAAGATATCATCAATATTTGATATTACATGAAAAATACAGGAAACCAGAAGGACCATTATTCAATTAAACCTTAAGGTAGTCATTCAAATACGCCTTTCTAAGTCCATAGAAAAAAACATAAGAAATATAACATTCACGAGCAGATCAGGTACACTAACACTAAACTTACAGTAAGCAAGTAACAATAAGTATAACCATACATTTTTCCAATAGCATTGGCAGTGATTTCACTCCTTGTGACTGAGAACAAAATATGTCACAAGAAGATCAATACACTGAGTAATCTAAGTGGTACGTACAACACGACGAGATAAAGAACTGCAAGTACACACAGAAGAAGTCGAGGAGTAAAATATTATCATTGAAAGCCAGAAGACACAGCAGGAATCACATTAAGGAAAATACCGTTTTTATTAATAATCTTAAATATGTATATAAGTGAAAGATCGCTCAGCAAATAGTAGGTACCAATTATCTACTACAGTTCGAACTAATTTTTCGAGACAACTTGAGTCACCTGTGATATAAAAGAATTTATTGCATGTTTTATGACTCGAACCAGCCTTTATGTCATTAAAGCACATCAACCAAAGATGGACACTAAACCACTAGATAATTAGATGATCATACATGTAACGAAACCATGAACATTGTTTTGAAAAATGCTGTACCAGACAATACGATTTTACCGGAAAATTCGACAGAGAGTAGAGCAGATAGAAAGGAAGCATAACAACACATTTAAATACCAGGGCATTCAAGATTTTCAAAGCTCAATACGAAGATGTTGCTTTACTGCTGCGGCGAAGATGAAGCCGCGCCTCCATCAGAGTGACTGTCAGGAGCAGCAGACGAGCCGTTCGTTGCAACAGAGGCTCCACCGTTGGTCAGGGCTGCTTCAGGCGCGTCTTGGGAGCTCTCCTCACGGGGCACAAACACAGCAGCTTCAGGGTTCAGTTTGAACTAGAAAAAAAATGAAAAATCAATGACCACGTTCCAGAAAATATTTAACTATTAATTTTAGACTTGGAGATGAATGTTGCTCCAACAAGAAAATGGTAAAGATTGCAGAAGTGAAATCCTTTTTTTTTTTCGAAGTAGATGGTACTTGTACCTACTTCAGTTGTTACAGGATACAATTAGGTGATGAAGTCTATTTTGCACCAAGTGTTCTAAAATTAAGGTTCAAATAGAGTAATGCCTTATGAAAACATATACTAACGTTATGATTTGATGCTGACGTAGAGCTCAGACAATGGCCGTTTTGTTGCATCTGCAAAAGCTGCTGTTGCTGCAGGTGCTGCATTTGTTGCTGTTGCTGCAGCTGTTGCATTTGTTGTTGCTGCTGCCGATTAAGTTGCATGGTCTCAAACTGTCTCTGCATCTGATCTAGCTGGGCTTGGTTAACCATCCTGTTTAGAAATAATTACAACTGTTTATGGACATGAGATGACCTGGGTGCATGACAACCTTGGATCTTGGATGGTAGGAGATGACCAGAAAATAGAAGTGTAATATATGAACCCTTTATTTCAATATGTCAAAACATTATTACCAAACTTGATAGTTAGAACGATTGCCCAATCAAAGAGCCATTTTTTGGAATTAAAAAAAATGTCCTGGTTAAGAATTGCTGTAAAATTAAAGTGAAAAGAAGTTTGCATCAAGATAGTTATTTAGTGATATGTTTATTTTTTCTGACCATATTCAATGGATATACAATAGCAGCAAGGATAAAAGTACAAGTTTTACTCTTATTTCAAGAAGAAAAGTAAGTGAGCTCACATTTGATGTTGGGGATAGAAGACAGTTTCCCTGGCTTCCTCTTCATTCAACATTTGCTGCAAGAAAACTTCTTCCTCTTCTCCTGCATCGAGTGGACCCCTCAGGAGTTGCTGCTGGAGCTGCTGTTCAACTTCAACAAGTACCTGCAAAGTTTTCCTTGTGTTATTAACAATACATTCCAATAAGCTCTTAACCAACTCAACTTTCAGGTCTTATTAAATTTCATTTGTCTTGAATAGAAATACTAATATTAGCACTACTACTAGTATATAATAATAATAAAGGTATTCGCATTTTATTAAGCTCAATTAGCAGAAGATGTTTATTTTTGTCACTGTACACAAATATTTTTTATTATATTTTCATTATATGTATTTATATATACCTATTAAAGGTATATTATTATATTTTTTTAATAACCACTTACATTTTCAGCCAAACTACATAAATGGTTCAACTTACCTCATGATCAAAACTCTCTAGATCTTCTTCAGCCATCCACATGAACTCTGAAAATTCTGAGTCAGAACCAGCAGAATTGCTGTTCACTGCACAACTTTGATTTGAATTTGGTAAATGCATTTTGCAAAAGCTAGCACAAGTTATTTCTCCTGAAGTAAAACAAATAAGCAAACAAATTTAAAATTTTAGCAGGCAAATTTTTATAAAAGCTAAAATATATTACAATTTCTATTGTTTATATTATATCTCATATTTTAATTCACCCACATCCAGGCCATCCCCCCCCCCCAAAAAAAAATAATAATAAAATAAATTCTTAAAGAATTTTTGAGAGCTGACACCTGAATAAAAAATATGCAATGTACCTTTTGCTGATCACCATCTCCTGTTTGATTTACAAGTCTCAAAAATTCAAGTTTTTCAGCAATACTGTCAACCGGGGCTACTCGGGACAGATTTGAGTGTTTTTTTGTTAATAACTGTTAATAACTTCTTACAATGAAACATTTCATAAACAAACAAGTTTAGGCTCATTTTATAGCTCATTGCAAGCGAGGGCTATCGAATGGCATCGTCAAAAAAATTCCATATGCTATTCGTAAGGTGCCAGAAGCAAAAAAAAAGTTTCCCGAGTAGCCCCATCAAACTCGGGACACTTGGAATACAACTTCATTTTAAAACGTTTGAAGCATGCAGAGTGTACTCATCCATTACTAACAATACTCTGAAGTCCTCCTCTTTCATTGTAGATGATGTAGAGGTAGAATGAATGACTTTTTCTGTGATTTTTACTTGTTTCTCCTTCATTGATATGATATTACCATATACAATAATTACCGTATTATTGATGCGATATTACCGTATTATTGATGCGATATTACCGTATCCATGAACATGCCATCGAGCATTTACAACAACCTTGTCCACTGCAAGCTTCATATCAGCAGCCTTATAGCATTTTTTCTGTTTCTGTAAGCTTACAGGACGGCTTGTAATTTCACACCATTTTAATTGGGTTAAGTGAATTTACTATAAAATCAGATCGTGAAAAACATACCTGAAACAGAAAGGAATGTTTTAGTGACAACCATCGTGCGTTTTGGAGAAATAAATCGTAGTTTAGGTCAATTGCTTTTCATTCTATGATGCCTGGTGCACAATTCTATATATGACATTCTATGCACAATTTTGTGATGACCGATGATGCACTAATTTTTCGATAAGTGAATTTTTTTTCGCTGAGCACGGTAAATGTAATCAATATTCTTTGTTCTTAATCAATTTTTTTCTTAACTGGAGCCTTTGCTAACTGAGGTTCTACTGTAAATGCGTTTTTGGGGTTATCCCGAATAGCCCCAGAGGGTTGTCCCGAGTAGCCCCGCCGTGCGGAAATGACCGCCATTTTGTTTTGGAATAAGATAGGCAAAATCTGTCAATAAAGTTTTCAAGCCAACACCTGAGTGCAACTTTTATGTAAGTAAAATTTTTTATATGGCGAATATTTTTTTTTTGCTCCAGACCTTAGCAGAAGTAACTTTGCAAAAATAGCATTTTTCACCATTTTTTCAGGAATTTTTCAAAGCTAGTAAATGTAGTATTTTTTGACTTCCTTTATACTACATAGATAGGAAAAATTTTTGATGTTTACACCACTATTTTTAGTTTTGCAATATTTCAATTAGTTTCGCTACAACAACAGTTTTACGCCGTGTCAGAGGCCCGTCCCGAGTAGCCCCGGTTGACGGTATGTATATGGATGTAAATATACATATAAATTTAACATGGACTAATTACCAGCATAATAAAATATTATTTTCACTTGAATGACTTGAAAAAATAACTAGACCACTTCCACTATTTATTGAGTCACAAAATTATTGCTTTGTAAATTAAATCAAATCTATTTGGTAACAAAAGTGCATTATTGAATGGCATGATTACTGAGTTATCAAAAATCTATCACTTCAGAGCTGCTAGATTTCAGTATTAAGTTAGAAATTTCAAATATTGGTTATGATAATCATAAAATCCAGAAATATATTGTTGTATGTTGCCACTGCCAGTGCCAGTGTGATTGCTAAAATGTACCGTAAGTTACAAAACATCCTAAGTGATTGTAGGGGATATTTTGAACAGGAGATGGTCTAATATCCTGGCTCTAAAGCAAAATACAGAACTAAGTATTTGAATGACATCATTGACATGTAAATTGACTTCATAACTCATGACGCACACAATTGAAATTATTTCTGGTGACTGTGAGAATTCAATGTCCAGCAGTCCAGGTAGCACTAGTGCCAGCAGCCTGGCACTAGTAGGTATATACAGCACCTCAAACACAAAGTAGTAGTAAACAGCCTTAGACAGCAACTTGTGCTAAGTTTTATTTGTACAAAACTGTTCTTAAGACTGATATAAATACAACAGTAGACCTTTCACAGATAACTTGACCCATGCTTGCATGGTGCACCCATACCTTTCTGTATTTAGCTGATTTAGAAACCTTGTTAGACCAATATTGTAAGGTTATTTATCATTTATAACCTTGTAATGTTTTAATAATAAATCACTATTCTCACTTTCACAGACTAACACCTATGTAGCTGTACCAGCACTAGTAACTACTTGAGAGTTGAGACCAGTTCACTGGTCTTAAGCCCCGTCCACATGCTCAAACTTATCGTCAGTCTTGCATGCCATGCCAGGTTTGATGACAAGACAGAGCGTGTGGACGCTCAAAGTTTGACGTCTTGCATGACAGGTGGGCGAAGTTTGAGGTTTGTCAAGCCTGGAAAAGACAGATGGCAAGACCTTTGGGTTCATGCAAGACTGACGATAAGTTTGAGTGTGTGGACAGGCAACCAACTAATTGGTCAAACTTTTACTCAATCTCAGTCTATATTGATGATGAGAGCTGTGATGATTGTTCCTTGCTAGCTCTAGTTTTTCATATCCCAGGATATCCGACACTGGTTTCACGATTTCTTTTGGTAAGTTTATCAAGTTATATCGTAGTTTCCCTTGTTTATGGTAAATTCAATCAAAAGTTACAGTCACAAGAACAAGATAGCACTCTAAGCACTGGCCTATGCGGCATTGATTGCGAAGTGCAAAGAAGTTGATCATACAGGATACAGCAAACAAAGACTTTGTAACGAATAAAATAAACTCTTTAGCAAAAATAATGTGCCAAAATGAAGTCATCAATGCTGTCTGGTGCTGGTAGGGATGCTGTCTATCAACCCTCATTGTGGCATTTTTCAAAACCATTTTTGGGACCACCGCGTACGGTTGCATTGCTTTAACCTAATTATGGTGGCACAAACTGCAATCACTGCAGCAAGCAGCACTGCCTCCTCCATTGTCACAACTCGCGAACGCACTAAAAACTGAAGGAAAGTTTGAGCGTGTGGATGCTCTTCAGTCTTCTGTCAAAATAGGACAAACCTGGCAGGACATGCAAGACTGACAATAAGTTTGATTGTTTGAGCGTGTGGACGGGGCTTAGCCTATGTAAGTGGTCTACTAGCACTTAGTCTAGTAGATAAGTAGTAGTACTGGTACTGTACTGGAGTAACTAGAATACTAGTAATAGTATACTAGACTAGACTACTTATAGATTTAGTTATAGACTCAAAAATGAACTAGAGCTGGAAGATGAGTCCAAAAAGTCTCTGCTTAGAGCCTTAGACACTATGTCTATTGTCTGGATTTATCTGGTAAACAAATAGCTAGTTCATAAAATCCCTAGATACCACATACCATAAAATGGGGTTACTTTGACTACTTTTATTTTAATGATGCCATCTTTTTATTAGATAAATTAAACTTAAATTGAAACATGCAAAATACAGGTCTATAGTCTAGCTTCACTCACCATAAATTGCTGGCTCCTGTCTCTCATAGTTTTGATATAATTTCAAAAAAAGTGATGGTCTTTGTTACCCCAGCTCTTGGGGTTTCATTGAATGGGTGGTAAAATCAATTTTATTTTTTGGTAAAATAACTCCAGATTTTGGTGCATTGTAGTAGAACTCTTCTAGATACATATGCAAATGACAAATTTTAGGTTACATATGCAAAGTGTCATAGTTTGCAAATTGGGGGTGCTGCCCCCTAATGGGCAAAATGTGACCACCTAATGGCAGCCATGACGGGCTAACATTGACCGGCTTGGAAATTAAGTTAAAATTACCATATATAAGACTCTGTAGAGTCTGAAACAAAGAAAAAACATTAATAGGTGTATCAAACATAAAATATGTTATATAGGCACCTATGGTAATTTTAACGTAATTTCCAAGCCGGTCAATGTTACCCCATCACGGCTGCCATTAGGTGGTCAGAGTTCCCCCATTGGGGGGCGGCACACCAATTTGCAAACTATGACACTTTCCTAAAATTTGTCATTTGCATATGTAACTAGAAGAGTTCTACTACAATTCATCAAAATCCGGAGTTATTTAACCAAAAATTAAAAAAATGGGAGGGGGTACTCCGACAGGCTTTAAATAATAGGTAGGGTAAACGCGGTATATTCCGACATTGTGGGTAATTCTGACACTTTTTTTCCTTTATATTAAGCTTTTTCTTAGTTCCATGCATTTGTTGATGGTTGAAATAGCGACTTCATACTTTTGCGCACCATACTATTGCCAAAACACTAGGTCTGGGCCGTCTGGCGGGAAAATGTTGAGATCCAAAGAGAGACAGTGCGCGTCACCCAGTGACATCAAAAAATGTGTCGAAGTTGATAGTTGACCTTGCTCTACCAAATAGTGATACACTCATTTATTACACTGTTTGTGTAGAAAGAATATTATGGTTTGAGACTTTTAAATACGTCTGTGAATATATTATATTATTAGGAATCCTTTAACACGTTGACTACGATTGCTACATCTTGTACTATTATTTCATTTTTTGTACTTTTTTTAAGCTAGGTTGCCAGACGGTCATTTTTTCCAGAGAAATTCCGTGATTTACTTTTTCTCAATTGCATGGCCGGCTAAAATTTATGATAGGGGTGCTTCCTAATTAAATTTTAAATACTGCAAAAAGAAAATAAATGGAATTTTTATGGCGGAACCTACAACTAAACTAGTATACATTGAATTATTGGCCTTTTTTGTTCTCGGATTTGGCCGATTTTAGGC